TCAAGTGGACGCGGGAGAAGGAATAAGGGGGGAAGGGGCTGCAGCCCCCTCCCCTGGCAGGGACATCACCGCCAGTGCCTTAAGCAGCCCCCCCGGGCTGGGGCTGCATCCCGGCCCGGGAGGCACTGGGATCTGGGCTTCTGGGCGCTCCCTTTTTCTGGATGTTTTTCTTACATTGCTTTGAAGCCGTCCGACGTGCACAGACCGCGTTGTGCCTTCCCGGGGAGGGGGGACAGGAGGTGGCCCCCTCCCCACCCCACCCATTGGGCACCCCTGGCTGCCAGGTGGGGATGGGGGGGTCGAGAGCCAGCCCGTGCCCCCTCCCTGCTGGCCCCAGCCCTGCTCCAGAACCAGGTTGAACTTAAGCAATAGCCCCCCCCGCCCCTCCCCAGCTCCAGGATGGGGGTCCTGGGTTGTGGCCCCCCCACGTTTGAGGAGGTCTGGCAGCCCCAGTTGGACTTTAGACACTTGTGACTTTGGGTTTGGTTTTTTTTTTTTTTTTTTTTTTTAAATAATTCAAATGTTTTATTTATACAGATACCGAATAAAACAAACTTGAGGCCTCCCTGGCTGGCAGGCAGCTGGGGCAAGGAGGTGGGAGGGACTGGGGACCTGCACCCCAACCAACCCCCAATAAATGGGGATGGGGGCTCTTCCTGCCCCAGGCTGGCACAGAAATGGGGTATAAAAGCAGCAGAAATGGGGTATAAAAGCAGCTGCCTGGCTGTCAGGAATGTAGCCCTGAGGAGTGGCTGCAGTGCCCCAGCGGTGCCACAGCAGGATGGGGATGTGTCCCCGCTGTCCCCAACCCCTTCAGCCCTCGCTGCACTCCTGGTTCTCCTGGTTCTGCTCCATCTCAGCTCTGCAGGGGACACACATTGGATGGACACAGCCTCGGGGGCTGAGCAGGTGGGGAGGAGCCCCCCAGCCCCAGGGACCCCCAGCCCCGGTACCTGCGGATCCTGCGCTGGCCCTCGGCGCGCACGTAGGGTGGCAGCGTGTCAAGGGGACCCTGCAGGAGAGGGCTGTGAGCCTGGGGACCCCCACCAGCCCCGAGACCCACCCCTTGCACCCCAAAACCTCACCAGCTCCTTGAAGGTGAGGCGGCAGCTGTAGCACAGCAGGGGGATGTAGGCAGCTTTGCTCTCCACCCTGTGGGACAGGGATGGGGACAGGGACACTCAGCGGTGCCACCCGGGTGGCCTGGGGGCAGCTGTGGAATCCTGGAATGCCCCCAGCCCGTGTGCTCACCCTGGTGCTGGTTCCTCCCAGATCAGCGTGGGCTCCAGAGCCAGCTCCTCCTCTGTAAGAGCCAGGGGGTCACCGAGGGGTGCATGGCTGCTCCCCAAATCCCCGCAGAGCCCTCCCCACTCACCCCCAATGGTGTCCAGGCCACAGAGGCAGAGGAGGCAGCGCTGGGACTCACTGCTGGCCTTGGCTGGCTCCGGGCTCAGCTTCTCTCCAGTCCTGCGGCCAAAATGAGGGTTGTGGGTGCACCCCAATCCCTCCACATCCCCAGTTCCCCCTTTGGACCCTCCATACCTGTACACGGTGCTGATGGTGGAGGGGAACTCCTCCTGCAGCCCCAGCAGGAAGCGCTCAACCAGCTGGTGGATGCTGAGCTTCTCCCGGCGCTGTGGGAACAGGGAGGGCAGGGCAGCACTGAGGCTCCTGTCCCTGCCCTGGGGACACCCAGCGTGGGCTCCCCACCACGGGACACCCCTACCTTGGTGAAGAGGGGTGGCACAGTGACAGTGGGGACGCTGAAGAAGCGGTTGTAGAAGGCGATCTCCTTGGCCGTGTAGTCCCGCATGGGTCTCACCACCATCACGTCACCGTGGCGCTGGTCCGTGAAACCCTGTGGGTGCAGGGCTGCCAGGGGACTGTGCCACCACCAAGCCACGCCCCCCATGGCATCGTGTCACCCCTGGGGTGCGGGTGGCTGTCCCCAGCTCACCGTGTCCACGGCGAGGTAGGCGCCACGCCCCAGCGAGAGGTTGGTGAGGAGCTTGATGGCCACGCGTGTGAGGCTCTCACCCATCATCACCTTGGCATAGCCCTTGTCCCGGGCTGTCTGCACGATCAGGTGGGTCCTGGGCACGAGGGGACAGCGGGTCAGAGCCACCCTGTGCCCAGCTGGCAGCGGTGCCAGGCAGGGTCAGTCCCTCACCGCAGCATCTCCAGCAGCTCCTCCCGCGCCGTCGCCGTCGTCGCAGCCTCGAAGCAGCGGAGCAGCTCCTGGGTTTGGGCAGCGTCTGGCAGGCAGGGGGTGGCTCCTGCTGGCCTGTCCGGGGTGCTGTGACCAGGCAGAGAGGTGCCACTGTCCCCATCCTGCCGCTGCTGCTGGATGAAGCTGTCCACAGCCTCCTTGTAGGACGGGCTGGACGTGCTGGTGCGCTCCAGCCCCGGCTGTAGGATGGATGGGGGCAGCTCCAGCGCCTGTGGGGCAGAGGATATAAGGCAAGCTATCCAGATGTGTCCCCTCACCTCAGCAGCTGTCCCGTGTCACCCCAATACCTCCTCCAGGTGGACCAGGTGGTAGGGGAAGCCGGTGGCCTGCAGCAGGGTCTCCATCTGGGCCAGGGTCTGCTGCCGCTGCTCCGGGCTCTGCCTGCGCACGGCTCCCTCTGCAAGGTGGGGACACTGCCAGGGCTGCTGCCACACTGCCACATCCCTGGGACAGGGTGGCAGCTCCACAGCCCTGGCACAGTGCAGGGGACACTGTGCTGGGAGTCGGTAATGGGGCAGGGAGCAGGGAGTGGGGCTGGGAATGTGCAAGGGATGGGCAGCAGCACTGGGAATGGGGCATGGAATGGGCAGTGGGGCAGGAAATGGGGCAGGAACGGGTATGGGGCCAGGACGGGCAGGGAACAGGCACTGGGGCTGGGAATGGGGCAGGGAACAGGGAACGAGGCTGGAATGAGGAGTGAGGCAGGGAAGAGGCAGCAGGAGCAGGAAATGGGGTTGGAATGGGCAGTTGGACAGGAGTGGGGAATAGGGTTGGAATGGACAGTTGGACACAGAGCAGGGGATAGGGTTGGAATGGACAGTTGGACATGGAATAGGGATTGGAGAGCTGGACATGGACCAGAGGATGGGCTGGGAATGGACAGTTGGACATAGAGCAGGGGATGGGCTGGGAATGGGCAGCTGGACAGGAGTTCCCTCACCTTCAATGTAGACGAGGCCAGGGATGAAGCGGAGCCTCTTGGCCGCCTCCCGGCTGAGCCCCTGCAGAGGAGTGGGGTGAGCTGTGGGGTGAGGGGGGACGAGCCATGTGCCTCCCAGAGCCCCCTGGAGTCCCCACTCTCACCTCCTGCACCTGCCTGACCATGGCGCTGGAGGCCGCGCCCCCTGACACTGCCAGCAGCACCTGTGGGGACAGCAGGGACAGTCACCAGTCCTGGGGCCACCCCTGGGTCCCCTGGCTGGGTCCTCCTGCCTGTCAGTACCTTCTCTCCCGGGAAGATGACGCGGTTCTTGCCCAGCATGGCACGGAACTTGTGCACAAAGTACTCGCGGAAGCAGCCACTGGGGGACATGGGGACATGGGGACTCCTGAGCCACAGCAAGGCCCACACCCCCAGACCCCACAACCCAAAGTCCCCTTGATGTCCCCCAGACCAATGTCCCAGAGATCCAATGATCCCCATGAGCCACGTCCCCAAACATTCCTGTCCCCCTTCCTCTGTGTCCTCAACACTCAATGTCCCCAAGCCTTGATGTTGTTTGGCCCCGATGTCCCAGACACCCAATGTCCCCAAACCCTGAAGTCCCAGAGATCCAATGTGCCCAACATCCCAATGCTCCAGACACAACATCCCTGAAAACAAATGTCCCCAAGACACAAAGTTCCCAAGCCTCCATCCTCTGGAGACTCAAAGACCCCAATTTCTGATGTCCCCAATTTCTGATGTCCCCAAGCCCCAGTGTCCCCCAGCCCCATTGTCCCCAAGTCCCAATGTCCCCAAGTTCTGATGTCCCCAAGTCCCAATGTCCCCCAGCCCCAATATCCCCAATTTCTGATCTCTCCAATTTCCAATGTCCCCAGCCCCAATGTTCCCGATTTCTGATATCCCACATTTCTGCTGTCCCCCAGCCCCGCTGTCCCCAGCCCCGCCGTCCCCGGTCCCTCACCGGCAGAACGGGTCCCCGACGCGGATGACGAGCGCGGCCGTGCTCTGCCGGCACTTCATGCACGTTCGGGGCTGGCTGCGGGGACACGGCCGGTCACCGGGGACACCGGGACCTGAACTCCCGGGAGCGGTCCCGCTCCCCGGGCGGCACCAGGGATACCGGGACGTTACCGGGGGAAGCACCGAGAGATATCGGGGGGACACCGGGAGCAGGGGATCGGGGATGGCAATGGGGAGCACTGCAGGGATACCGGGGATGTTACCGGGGGTAACAGCAGAGGCAGCCCGGGGATTCCGGTGACACACCGGGGATAGGACGGGGGGGACACCGGGGCGGTACCGGGGGGTGCTGGCGGGCGCATTGGGGATGTACCGGAGGCAGCACGGGGGGGATGCCCGGGGGAACACCGGGGGGTACCGGGAGCGGCCCCGGGGGTCCATTCCGAGGCCGGACCGCACTCACACCTGTCTGCCGGTGCGCGGCGGCGCCGCGGCGGTTCCGCGTCCGCCCCGCAGCCACCACCGTCACCCGTCGCGTCGCACATGGCGGCGCCACTCGGTCCCGGTGGATTCTGGTAGGTCCCGGTGAGTCTCGGTGGGTCCTGCTCGGCCCGGGCCCCGCTCGGCCTGGTTCGGCTCGCACTCGGCTCCGCTCGGCCTCGTTCGGCTCTCACTCGGCTCCGCTTGGCTCCGCTCGGCCTCGTTCGGCTCCGCTCGGCCTCGTTCGGCTCCTCTCGCCTCGCACTCGGGTCGTCTCGGTACCGGCGTGTCTCGCCGTGTCCCGGTGCGCTCCCGTCGCACGGCGGTGACGCGTTGGCGCCGCTCGGTGACGTGCCGCCCGCCCCGCCGGCCGCCGCCGCCGCCATGTTCCGGAGCCTGCTGGTGGCGGCGGCGCAGCGGCCGCAGGGCCCGGCCGGGCCCCCCCGCGCCGCCCCCGGGCCCGGCGCCGCGGCCGAGGCGCTGGAGGCGCAGTTCAGCTGCCCCATCTGCCTCGAGGTTTTCCACCGCGCCGTCGGCATCGCGGGCTGCGGCCACACGTGAGACACTCGGGGCCCGGGCGGGGGCGGCGGGGACCCCCGGGGACCCTCGGGCTGAGGCGGCCCCGGGGACGGGCGGGACGCGGGGCTGGGCGCTGTGCCGGCCCTGGGATCATCCTCCCGGTGACCGCAGCCGGCACCGGGACCCCCGGCCCACACCGGGGATGGTTCGGTACCCGGGCCCTCATCCCATCCCACACTGGATCCCCATCCCACCCCTAACCCTCCCTCAGCTCCCAGGCCTGACTGCTGTCCCCAGGCCCCCCCGTGTCCCCCCAGCATTTAGGGGACATTTAGGGTTCCTGGTGAGCAGGAGGGACCAGGAATGCCGGGATAATGGGATTTTGGTGACGGGATTCCTTTGCTCCTGAGGCTGTAAGGACCTTGGAATGAGCTCCTGCCTGGCCTGGATACCCAGCACGGGCTTGGGCTCCTTTCAGATCCAGCCTTGGAGCAGGGGAATTGTCTGAGCCTGCAGGAGCTCCCTGGGGACTCTCCTGCTCCCAGTTCTCCCAGTAGGGTTGCTGATCCCTGTGGTGCCCTGAGAGGCTGCCCAAAACAGAGTTAAAGGAATAAAATAGGGATTTATTAACAAGCCTTCAAAGGATGCACCTTGGGCAGTACAAGAGCCCAGGATGGACTCTGACTCACAGGTTTTCACACTTTTATAAGATTTGGTGCATTTCCACATTGGGGTTAATTTACAAGGTCCGACTCCAAGTGATGCCGTCCCATCCTCACAGTTTGCTCTCCTCCATTCCCTGTTGTTTGCACTTTTTGGGCCTGAAGCTGCAGTGGTGTCCTTGGTTCTGGGGCTGGAAAGGATTGTTCTGTGTGACTGAGGAAAGGAAAAGGATTGTTCTGTGTGCCTGAGCTGTGAGGAGAGCTGCTGACACTTTGTATGGAGTTCAGAGTTAAATACCAATGCAGCCCAGAATCTGAAAATATAAAAGATAAAACTGCTCTAAATCTAGACCCCATCAGCTGGGTTTTGAGGTGTCCCGGGCAGCGGGGTGCCCTGCTGGGGTGCTGCTGTGCCCGGGCTGCTCAGGGCCCCCCTGTGCCCGCAGGTTCTGTGGGGAATGCCTGCAGCCCTGCCTGCAGGTGCCCTCCCCGCTGTGCCCGCTCTGCCGCGTGCCATTCGACCCCAAGAAGGTGGAGAAGGCTTCCAGCGTGGAGAAACAGCTCTCGTCCTACAAGGCTCCCTGCAGAGGCTGCAGCAAGAAGGTAAAGCTGTGAGGCTGCCTGTCCCCATTGTCCCCATGGTCCCCGTCCTCCTTGGAATGTGTCCAGAGAAGGAAACAGAGCTGGGGCAGGCTCAGCCTGGAGAAAAGGATGCTCAGGGGGCACCTTGTGGCTCTGCACAGAGGGGACAGCCAGGGAGGGTCAGGCTCTGCCCCCAGGGAATGGGGACAGAACCTCTGGGGGTCCCTGCAGCCCCAAATCTCCATCCTGCAGGGTGGGTGCATGTCACTGTTGGGCTGGACATGACATACACACGTGATCAGGGTTCAAGAAGAAAAAAGGTTTTTATTCTGTGTGTTCTCCAGCTTGTATACTCTTAACAAAGTGTGATCTTAAGTCATTAACTATGTCACAAGAACTTATTATATTCGTTGGTGCAAAGCAATTAATGTCAATATAATTGGTAAAAGTTTTACAGAAATTCAATAAGGCATGTGTACACAGCTACTTATGCACACAGTCTAGCTTACAAAGATTTTCATGTATCTTTTCTGATCCGTTTCCATGCTGATGGCCTTGTCTCCTTCCCTGCTATGGATACACTCGAAAACCATCAATTGTTATTTCTGCTATTAACTCAGCTTGGCTTGCAGGCCAGCTGTCCAGCCCCTCCATGGGTGCAGCACTCCCGGTGCTGTGGGTGATGGAGCTGAGGTCACTGCCAGCCCGGCTGCTGTCCTGGCTCCAGGCAGGTGTTCCTGCAGCTCCAGGACTGTTCCTTGTCCCCTCCTGCAGGTGACCCTGGCCAAGATGCGCTCGCACGTCTCGTCCTGCGCCAAGGTGCAGGAGCAGATGGCCAACTGCCCCAAGTTTGTTCCAGTGGTCCCCACGTCCCAGCCTATTCCCAGGTATGCCTGAAACGTGGCTCTCCTTGCATGCCCCAAAATCCAGGTGTGTGTTGTGCCTGTCCCTGGGAGAGGAGCAGCACCTCTTCCCTCCTGGGGCTGTGGGACCGTGTTCGCAGGGATCTTATGTTGAGGGAAGAGATGAGAATATTGACTTTATGTTTAGAAGGCTTGATTTATTTTTTTATGATATATATTACATTTAAACTATACTAAAAGAATAGAAGAAAAGGTTCTCATCAAAAGGCTAGCTAAGCTAAGAATAGAAAGGAATGATAACAAAAGTTTGTGGCTCAGGCTGAGAGTCTGAGCTAGCTGAGCTGTGTTTGGCTATTAATTATAAATATTCAACATAAGCCAATCAGAGATCTACCTGTTACATTCCACAGCAGCAGATAACCATTGTTTACAATTTGTTCTTGAAGCCTCTCAGCTTCTCAAAAAGAAAAAAATCCTAAAGAAAGGATTTTCATGAAAAGATGTCTGCGACAGCGCTGCTGCTCCGGGTTTTGGGGTGTGGGGTGGGATGAAGGATCCAGGCAGGCAGGGAGGTGGGCTGGGCTGGCTCCTGCTGTCACAGAGCTGTGTGTGTGTCAGTTTGGAAGGAGGCAGTGCAGCCTCCCCTCGGCTCTGAGCCCGTCCTTGCTCTCTGCAGCAACATTCCCAACCGCTCCACGTTCGTGTGTCCGTACTGCGGGGCGAGGAACCTGGACCAGCAGGAGCTGGTGAAGCACTGCATGGAGAACCACAGGAATGACCCCAACAAAGTGGTGAGTGCTGCTGGGGGTGTGGGACAGCTCTGGGAACCAGCCACACACCCTGCAGGATGTTTGTGCAGGCACAGCTGTGTTCCAGATGGTTTAAATCCCTTTGGGAGATCAGGATCTCTGTCTGCTTTGTTGGAGGCTCCCTGGAATGAGCTGCCTCCCTTCCCCTGTTCCTGCAAACCAGGTGGTGCTGCATTTCCTCTCCCTGTTCCCTCTGGGTTGACCAGGGTGGGGAACTTGGCATCTCCAGCACAGGAAGGACCTGGAGCTGATGGAGATCACCAAGGTGATCAGAGGGGTGGAGCAGCTCTGCCATGAGGGGAGGCTGAGAAAATTGGGGTTGTTCAGCCTGGAAAAGAGAAGCTTCTGGGAGACCTAATTGTGACCTTCCAGGACCTTTAGGAAAGGTGGAGAGAGGCTGTTGACAAGGGCCTGGAGTGACAGGGCAAGGGGGAATGGATCCAAACTGCCAGAGAGTTGGTTTGGGTTGGCTATCAGGCAGAAATCCTTCCCTGTGAAGGTGGGCAGGGCCTGGCAGAGGTGCCCAGAGCAGCTGTGGCTGCCCTGGATCCCTGGCAGTGCCCAAGGCCAGGCTGGATGGGGCTTGGAGCCTGTCAGAGGAGGGGCACCGAGCACTCACCAATCTGGGTGCCTGTGCAGGTGCCACCATCCCGTGTCCTTGTCCCCACAGGTGTGCCCGGTGTGCTCGGCCATGCCCTGGGGGGATCCCAGCTACAAGAGTGCCAACTTCCTGCAGCACCTGCTGCACAGGCACAAGTTCTCCTACGACACCTTCGTGGTGAGTCTGACCCTGAGCCCAAAAAGGGGGACCCCCTCCCCGTGTCCTGTGCCAGGAGGTGAAACCAGCCCTTCATGTCCCACCCACGAGACCCCCTCACACACCAGGGTGTCCTCACTCACCAGGAGGAGAGGGGGTTGTTCCTGCACTTCACAAAATGGGTTTTTCCATGGAACTCTTCCCCTGAGGATTATAACACAAAGCTCCTTTTCTGGGAGGTTTTGGGAGCAGGGGGTGGGAGCAGCCCTGCCCCAGGGTTTGGGAGGGGGTTGTGGTTGCTGCACGTGGGGGGTCCCTGACCCCTCCTGTGTGGGGGGCAGCAGTGATGGCTCAGCCTTGGCCTCAGGGGAGGCTCTGTTCCCATCCTGCTTTCATTGGAGACATGTCAGGAAAAAGAACCTCCAGGCATTTTCAGAGGAATATCCCAACCCAGAGCTCTGCAAAAACCCCTGGCCTCGCTGGAAGGCTTCACCCTTTGGCCTCAGCTTGTGTGGGCAGGTTCCATCCCTCCTGGCAGGAGGGGGGTGTGGGCACAGAGAGCACGGGTGGCACTCCTGGGATCCGTGTGCCAGGGGAATTCAGGCTCCATGGCACAGGAGCAGGCAGGGCTGTGTGGGCACAGCGTGCCCTGGCTGTGCCAGCTCTCTGAGCTGCCCTGTTTGCTTTTCAGGATTACAACATCGACGAGGAGGCAGCGTTGCAGGCAGCCCTGGCTCTGTCCCTCTCTGAGAACTGAGGCTGATCCCTCTCCCTGCCCTGGCTCCTTCTGGACGCTCCAGGAACCCTCTCTGTTCCCACTGCAATTCCCACCTTGTTGAAGAAGGTGGAGCCTCTCCAGCCGTCCCAGTGAGTGAGCAGAGAGCTGTGAGCAGGGCTGGGAGCGCTCCTTGGATTGTGTTTAATATCCCTGTTGGGAGCTTCGCCCTGTGTCCAGATCTATTTATTGCTAGATGCTTTTTGGCACACTCGTCCCTGCTCTCTGGTGCAGCAGAACAGGTACTGGAACTGATGGATTGGATGCCTAACACCCTCCCTTGGGACTGCTATCAGCCACATCCTTTCAAAAAGGGGGAAGGCAGCACGGAGCTTCTTTTTTTAAACTCTCCAAGGATTTTTCTAGAGATGTCAGGCTGTCCTGACCCCCCTGCTGGAGGCTGCAGCTGCCTCCCTCACCTGAATCCCAGGATGGGACTGAAGAGTGGTTCAGGGGAGGCCTGGAGGAGGCATCCAGCACCCAGGGAATCCTCCCCTTCCTCGTTTTGTACCGGCTCTTGGGACACCAAATCCTTGCCTTTTTCTACACAAAGCAGTGAAGCCTTTTCCACGTTTTCTAGAGCGGGCTCAGAAGCTGCTCCCTTTCACTCTGCAATATCTGCCGCCCAGGACAAGAGTATTTTTATGGAACATTATCAAGAAAGTTTATTTTTTACACAGATAACCCAAGCAAATGAGCACGTGGATTGGGAATGGGGCAGGAGGCAGGAGCTGCATCCTGGAGCAGGTCGGACTCTGAGGTAGGGGGAACTGCAGGGATCTTTCTGGCACATCCCTGCATATTTCTGGGAGATCCCTGGATATTTCTGGGCTTTTCCCTTCCCTCAGCAGAATCCTCTGCCTGTGAGGGAGCAGGCAGGATGGTGGGGTTGGATGCCCATGGAATGGCTGTCCGTGCAGGATCCCAGCCCCGAGCTGCTGATCCCCCCAGAAATCAGGGACTGCATCTCCCTGTGGGAATCCCTCCCTGGGAATGGGGCACTGTTGGTCCAAGGTGCTCCACAGCATCCTGGAGCCCCCTTCCCCCTGCCCCTGCCTCTCAGCCCTGCTGCTGCTGCTGGGCTTGGCTCTGGAGGGCTGGGAGGGGCTGGCAGGGAGATGGCACCAGCCACGGGGTGATTCCTGAGAGCCTTCCTGCAGGGAAGGGCTGGGAGAGGCCCCCTCTGCTCGAGGAATTCCTGAGCTTTATCCAAAACCTGGCTCCAGCTCTGCCCTAGCAATACTGCCTTGGGGTTTGTTCTGGTTTTCATAGTGCTGGATGATTTTGGGACCTGCAGCCCTGGCAGGGCAGGGAAAGGGATGGGACCTTCTCTGAGCTGCCCAGCAGTGCTGAGGGATGTTCCTGTGGGATGGAGAGCACTGGAATCTTCCAGGAGGGACCCAGGAGCGTTTCCCTGTGCTGTGCTCAGCTGGGACCCTCAGCTGCTGGAGCACTGCTGGCTCCTTCTCTCTCTCCCCCTTTTCCTTTTCCTTTTTGCCCCACAGAGACAGAGAAGGGGCAGCAAGAGCTGCTTTTGTAAAGCACTTTAAGGCCCTGGGTGTGAGGGGCCACACCAGGCTGTGCCAGGGGTCCCCTCTGTGCCAGGGATCCCCTCTGTGCCAGGGGTCCATGGATACCCCACTGGCCGTGCCCACCAGTGCATCACCCACCACTTTTTTGCATAATTAGAACTTTTAACGAGCCGTCCTGTTTTTTGAAGAGGAATTAACTCGATGACGTATTTGTAGCAAACCATTTTTCTCAATAAAGGCAGTTTCATCCATGCCTGGCCTCTGGGGTGGGGGAGAGCACTGGAGGGATACTGGGAGCACTGGGATAGTGGGGCACTGGGATGCTGGGGCATTGGGATACAGTGGCCCTGAAGGCTGTGGGGGCACTCAGAGTGTCCTGGGGACATTTGGATCCATGGATCCCCGGACACTTGCAGGGATCCAGTGGTTTTATACCGGGAATATTTGGATATTTGGGGTGTGAAGGTGACAGGGATTGCGGGAGCACTGGAGGTGTACTGGGAGCGCTGGGGCGGTGCTGGGGCAGTGGGGTGCTGGGGACTGAGCGGTGCGGGGAGCACTGGGAGCGGTACCGGGAACAGAACCGACAGGGGTACCGGGAACCGAACCGGGAGTGGGACCGAGAGCACCGGGATGGTACCGGGAGCATCTGCGCATGCGCGGGTCTTGCCCAACTCAAAAATGGCGCCCCGCAGGCCCCGCCCAGCTCTCTCAGGGGGCGGGGCCGCCCGTGGTCTGATCGCTGCCATTGGCTGTTGGGAGCCTCGTGCTGCGCCCTCCACCAATAGCGGGGCGGGACCGGCCGCACCCCACTGTTACGTACATGGCGCGGGGGCGGGGCCTGAGCGCGGCCGGCAGCGATGGCGGCGGAGCGAGCGCTGGCGATGGCGACCTGCACGGCCCCGGTGAACATCGCCGTGATCAAGTACTGTGAGTGCCGGGACACGGGCTCCGGGCTGGGCTGGGTGTGCCGTGTCCGTTCGGACCGGGCCGGGCTGGGATGCGCTGTGTCCCTGCTTGCCGTGCTGTTCCGTGCCGTGCCATTCCAAGCCGTGCCATGCCGTGCCAAGTACTCCTATGCCATGCTCTGCTTTGTGTCCATCGGTGCCATTCTGAACTGTTCCATGCCGCTCCTAGCCATGCCATGCCATGCCATTCCTGGCTGTGCCATGCCATGCTTTGCTGGTCCATCAGTGCCATCAAACTTTCATGCCATTCCTACCCATTCCATGCCGTGCCATGCCGTGCTCTCTTGCAGGGGGCAAGCGAGACACCGACCTCATCCTGCCCATCAACTCCTCCCTGAGCGTGACGCTGCACCAGGACCAGGTGGGTCAGCATGAGGACCACGAGCAGGTTTAGGATCAGGATCAGGACCAGGTTTAGGACCAGCCCCCAGGGGTGCTGATCCCCCTCCCTCTCTCCCCACAGCTCAAGACCACCACGACGGCGGCCGCCAGCCGGGATTTCACGGAGGACCGGCTGTGGCTCAACGGGAAGGAGGCGGACGTGGGGCACCCGCGGGTGCAGGCCTGTCTGCGGGAGGGTGAGTGTCCCCTGCTGGGGTGTCCCTGCTGTCCTCACTGTCCCTGACTCTGCTGTCCCTGACCCCGCTGTCCTTGCTGTACCTGTCCCTGCTGTCCCCTCTGTCCCTGACCCCACTGTCCCTGCGGACCCTGCTGTCCCTGACCCCACTTGTCCCTGACCCTGCTGTCCATGCTGTCCCCATCCCTGCTGTCCCCAGTGTCCCTGACCCCGCTGTTCCTGCTGTTCCTGTCCCTGCTGTCCCCTGTCCCCACTGTCCCTGACCCTTCTGTCCCCACTGTCCCTGTCCCCTCTGTCCCCCTGTCCCTGCTGTCCCTGTTGTCCCTGACCCTACTGTCCCTGCTGTCCCTGCTGTCCCTGCTGTCCCTGTCTCTGCAGTCCCCACTGTCCCCTGTCCCTGCTGTCCCTGTCCCCACTGACCCTTCTATCCCCATTGTCCCCACTGTCCCTGTCCTCACTGTTCCTGACCCCTCTGTCCCTGTCCCTGCTGTCCCCACTGTCCCCACTGTCCCCGTCCCCGCTGACCCTCCTGTCCCTGCTGACCCCGCCGTGCCTGTCCCTGACTCCCCTGTCCCCGCTGTCCCTGTCTCTGCTGTCCCTGCTGTCCCCACTGTCCATGCTGTCCATCTGTCCTCACTGTCCCCTCTGTCTCTGTCCCTGCTGTCCCTGTCCCCACTGACCCCTCTGTCCTGCTGTCCCCTCTGTCCCTGTCCCCGCTGACCCCCCTGTCCCCGCAGTGCGGCGCCTGGCACGGAAGCGCCGCGGGGGCGGTGAGGACGCGGCCGCTCTCAGCCTGTCCTACAAGATCCACATCGCCTCCGAGAACAACTTCCCCACGGCCGCGGGGCTGGCCTCGTCTGCCGCCGGCTACGCCTGCCTGGGTGCGTGTGGGGCTGTCCCCTCGGGGCTGGCAGGGCTGGCAGGGCTGTCCCTGTGCCTGTCCCCGCAGTGTCAGCGCTGGTCTGACTCTGTGGTGGCAGCAGGAGGGGTGGCAGGGCTGTCCCCACAGTGTCAGTGCTGGCCTGGCTCTGTGGTAGCAGCAGGAGGGGTGGCAGGGCTGTCCCTGTGCCTGTCCCCGCAGTGTCGGTGCTGGTCTGACCCTGTGGTGGCAGCAGGAGGGGTGACAGGGCTGTCCCTGTGCCTGTCCCCACAGTGTCAGTGCTGGCCCGGCTCTATGGGCTGGAGGAGGAGTGACAGGGCTGTCCCTGTGCCTGTCCCTGCAGTGTCGGCGCTGGCCCGGCTCTGTGGTGGCAGCAGGAGGGGTGACAGGGCTGTCCCCTCTGATTGTGCTCTGGCTGGCCTGGCTCTGTGGTGGCAGCAGGAGGGGTGACAGGGCTGTCCCCCGTGCCTGTCCCCGCAGTGTCGGCGCTGGCCCGGCTCTATGGGCTGGAGGAGGAGCTGTCCGAGGTGGCGCGGCGGGGCTCGGGCAGCGCCTGTCGCAGCATGTTCGGTGGCTTCGTGCAGTGGCAGCGCGGGGAGCGCCCCGATGGCACCGACAGCCTGGCCCTGCAGGTGGCCCCCGAGACGCACTGGCCGGAGCTGCGCGTCCTCGTGCTGGTGGTGAGGGGCTGGCAGGGATTCGGGTGGCATTTGGGACACGGGGGGTCAGGAGGGGCCGTGTCCCAGCGTCTGTGTCCCCACAGGTCAGTGGGGAGAAGAAGCCGGTGGGCAGCACGGCGGGCATGCAGACCAGCGTGGAGACCAGTCCCCTGCTGAAGGTAGCGGGACACGGGACTCGTCCTGCCCGGGCAGGGACAGGGTCCCCTTTCCCTTGGAATGGTTCTGCAGGGTGTGCAGTGACACCCAGAGGGGCCTGGTGCTATGGGTGTCACCAAACTGCGGGGACAGTGACCTTCCTGCTGTGGGTAACCCCAAATTCGTGATCACAACCCACCTGTTGTGGATGTCACCGAATTTGGGTAACCGTGACCCTGCTGCCATGGGTGTCACTAAACTGGGGTGGCCACAACCTGTCTGCTGTGGTTGTCACTGATTTGGGGTGACCATGACTGTCCTGCCATGGGTGTCACTAAACTGGGGTGACCACAGCCTGCCTGCTGTGGGTGTCACTGGGCTGATGGTGACCCCCCTGCTGCGGTTGTCACTGATTTGGGGTGACCATGACCCGCCTGCCATGGGTGTCACACTGGGCTGATGGTGACCTGGTGACCCCCATGCTGTGGTTGTCACTGATTTGGGGTGACCCTGACCCGCCTGCCATGGATGTCACACCGGGCTGATGGTGACCCTGCTGTGGCAGCACCGGGCAGAGGTGGTGGTCCCCGAGCGCCTGGCCCAGATGATGCAGCACATCCGTGACCGTGACTTCGAGGGCTTTGGCCAGCTGGCCATGAGGGACAGCAACCAGTTCCACGCCACCTGCCTGGACACCTTCCCGCCCATCTTCTACCTGACGGACGTGTCGCGCCACATCATCGCGCTGGCGCACCGCTACAACGCCCACCACGGCCACACCAAGGTACCCGCGGGGCCCCGGGGCTGCCACGGCACCGTGGCACTCACTGGGTCCCCACATCCGTCCCCATGTCCCCACGATGCCACCACAGGTCGCCTACTCCTTCGACGCCGGCCCCAACGCCGTCATCTTCGCGCTGGCCGACACCGTGGCCGAGTTCGTGGAGGTGGTGAGGCGCAGCTTCCCCCCTGCCACCAACGGGGACCAGTAAGGGAACCCCTGCTTACTGGGGAGGGTGGGGACACTGGGGACACGGGGACTGAGCGCTCCCTGTGTCGCAGGTTTGTGCGGGGGCTGCCCGTGGGCTCGGCTGCGCTGTCCCCGGAGCTGGAGGCTGCCGTGCTCACTGAGCCCGTGCCCGGGGCTGTGCAGTACATCCTGCACACCAAGGTGAGGAGGGGGGACACGGCCTCTGGGGGGGGGAGCTCTGACCCCATCCCTGCCCCCAAGGGGGTGTGGGACCCCACTGCTGTGCCCAGGGGTGTCCAGGACCCCATCCCTGTCCCAATTCCTAGGCGAATGTGTGGGATCCCATCCCCATCCCAATTCCCCAGGGGGTGTGTAGGGCCCTGTCCCCATCTCCAGGGGAGTCCAGCACCCCATCCCTGCCCCCAGTCCCAGGGCAATGTATGGGACCCCATCCCTGTCCCCATCCCCAGCTGGGTGTGCAGGACCCCATTTCTCAACATATTCCCTTTTTGTGGTGGTGGTGCCCAGAGCTGCCCCCCACCCACAGCAGGGGGGTCCCTACAGGCAGTGGGGCTCCCCAGTATCCCTGACCTGTGTCCTGTCCCACAGCCTGGCCCTGGTCCCCAGCTCGTGGATGACCCCAGCCAGCACCTGCTGGGCCCGGATGGGCTTCCCCGGAGCCGTGCCTGACCCTGGTGACATTCTGGGACAGCCTGGGGGACTGTGCCACTGCCACCAGCGGGCCTCAGGACCCTGAGCCAGCCCTGCTGCAGAGCTGTCCCCAGCCCTGGGGCAGGATGTCAGCCCGGGGCTGGTTTTTAATCTTTTGTAAGGAAATAGAGGGTTCCTGGCTCCAGCGCTGTTTTGGGGTGTCGCGTTCTGTGTGTGGGGCTGGGGGAGGAACAGAGGATGGGGACAGTCCCTGGGGCTGTCCCTGTCCCTCCGCGCCATCCGTGTCGCCGCCGTGTCCTCAGTGCGGCCCCGGGCCGGTGCCGTGTCCCCTCGGGGGCGTGGCCTGTTCCAAGGGGGCGTGGTAATAAATTGGGTGTGGCATTCTAAAAAGGGTGTGGTCAATACGAATGGGGCGTGGCCTGTGCGGGTAGCGCCGCACCCGCCTTCCGGGTCGGGGCCGTCCGAGCGGAGCCGAACCGGGACGGGCCGGGCCCACCGGGAGCAGCCGAGCCCCAGCGGGCCGAGCACAGCAGAGCGGGCCGAGCCGAACCCGACCGAGCAGAGCCGAACCGGACCGGGCCGGGAGCAGCCGAACCCGCTCGGAGCGAGCCGAGCGGAACCGAGAGCGGCCGAAGGCGCTCGGGAGTAGCCGGGAGCAGCCGAACCCGTTCGGCCCGAGCCGAGCGGAACCGGGAGCAGCCGAACCCGTTCGGCCCGAGCCGAGCGGAGCAGCCGAACCCACTCGGGCCGGTTCCGTCGGGCCATGGGGCAGATCGAGTGGGCCATGTGGGCGAACGAGCAGGCGCTGGCCGCCGGGCTCAGTGAGTGTGAGGGGGTTTGGGGGGTTTGGGGCACTCCGGGAAGTCCCCGGGCTCTGAAGGAGTGAGCGCCCCGCGGGCTGGGGATGCCGAGCCCCGGGAATGGGCTGGGATGGGATTTGGGGGGGGTCCCGGTCCCACCGCGCTGAGGGTGAGGGCGGGGGACGGCCGGGAAGTCCCGGCCCGGCGGGGCTGGAGGCTGCGCTTCCTCCTTTTCTCTTCCTCCTCTGCCCTCTCTTCTTCGGTTCCGTTCTCTCCTCCTCCGCTCTCCTCTTGCTCCGGCCGCGAGGCCAAAAACCTCCCCGAGGCCAAAAAACCTCCCCGAGGCCGTTCCCGAGGCCAAAAACCTCCCCCGAGGCCAAAAACCTCCCCCAGGGCCCCGGAGCTCCCCAGCCCGGGGTCCCGCACCAGCATCGCCCCCGCGTCCGCTCCGGCAGCGCTCGGGGCCGGGGACCTCAGGGCCATAACCCCGGGCTGGGGGTCCCGTGTGTCCCCAGGGCCGTGACCCGGGCTGGATCCGGAGTTTGGGAGGGCATATCCTGATCTCGGGGCTGTAACTGGGGATTTGGGAGCTGCATCCCAGGTTTGGGAGGTTATATCCCGGTTTGGGGGGGGTGTATCCCGAGTTGGGGTTTGTATCCCGGTTTGGGGGAGGTGTATCTCGGGTTGGGGTTTTTTTCCCGGTTTGGGGTGTGTATCCTGGTTTGGAGGGTTGTATTCCGGGTTGGGGAGGTTGTATCCAGGTTTGGGGGCTGTATCCCGGTTTAGGGGTTGTATTCCGGATTGGGTTCGGTATCCCGGTTTGGGGTCGCTATCCCGGTTTAGGGGATGATATCCCTGTTTGGGGTGGGTATCCCGGTTTGGGGGTTTTATCCCGGTTTGGGCTAGGTTTCCCGGTTTGGGCTCGGTTTCCCGGTTTGGGCTCGGTATCCCGGTTTGGGGGTTGTATCCCTGTTGGGGGTCGCTATCCCGGCCCGCTGTGACCGCTCCGTCCCCTCCGTTCCCGCAGTCCTGCTGACGGGCGGCATCGTGGCCGTGGCGGGGCAGTTCAAGGGCTGGTACTTCGCGGCGTACTCCATGTATCCTTCCCGACAGCATTCCCGGGGCTGGGCTGTGGGAAAACCCCGTCCCGATCGGGTGGGAGGCATGACCGGGCAGGGGTCACATCCTCATCTCCCCACTGTGCTCCCCGCTGTGCGTTCCCTGCCGCACACAGCCCTTTTGGGGTGTCCTTGGGGCCATTCCCGTCCCATCCCGCCTTTTCTTGACGCCCCGGTAGCGCTGCAGGCGTCCTGGTGTGCCTGCTCGAGTATCCCAGGAGCAAACGGAAAAAGGGCTCCACCATGGAGAGGTGGTGAGTGCTGGCTCCCCCCACCCCGCAGCCATGGCGGTCCCTGGGGGCTGGCTGTCCCCCGAGGGTGGGGACACCCCCAGTGACCCCCCTGCTGTCACCCTGCAGTGGCCAGAAGTACCTGACAGCCGTGGTGAAGCTGCTGGGGCCCCTCACCAGGAATTATTACATCCGAGCCATCCTCCACGCTGCGTGAGTGGGGTGCAGGGTTGGGGCTGGGGGCTGAGCCCCCTGGCACCCTCTGAACCCCAAATCTCTGTCACAGCCTGGCTGTCCCTGCTGGATTCCTCCTCTCCACCATCCTGGGCACCGTCTGCCTGGGCATTGCCAGCGGCATCTACCTGCTGGTGAGTGCACAGGGGTTTTGGGGGGCTGGGAGAGGGAGGCCACCCCTAAACCCATGCACCAGTGTTTCCATGTGAATTCCAGCAGCATTCCCAGATGGGGCTGCAGGAACAGCCTGTCCCAATCGGGGTGGGCAGGGGTCATGTCACATCCTCCCCTCTGGTCCCCCTGTGCTTTCCCTGCCCCTTTTTGGGGTGGGGGTTGATCCTTGGCCCTGCTGTGACCCCGCAGGCCGCGGTGCGAGGGGAGGAGTGGAGACCCATCGAGCAGAAGCCCCGGGAGAGGCCCCAAGGGGGGGGCACCATGAAGGCGCCCCCCAGCAACCCCCCGCCCCGGCCGCCCCCCGATGCCCGCAGGAAGCAGCCGGAGCTGGGGGGGCAGGTGAACCCCATCCCCGTGGAGGTGGAGTAATGGGGATCCCCTGCCCTGCCCTGCTCCTGCTCCCCAGCTGCTCCTGGATCCGCTGCAGCCATCCACTGGGCTCCTGGGGTCCCCAAAACCCTGGGGCTGGGAGCCCCTTGCTGAGAGTCCCCAGCTCCTGGGATCATCAGTTCCCATGGCCCCCCAAGGGATCCCCAAATCCCCAGTGATGCTCTGCGGTCCCCAGCTCTCCTGGGGATCCCCAAATCCCCAGCGATGCTCGGAGCTCCTTGTAGGATTTCCATCCTCTGGGGATCCCCAAATCCTCTAAGATGCTCAGCTCCTCTAAGATGCTCAGCTGCTTGTAGGATCTCCATCTCCCTGTAGGATCTCCATCTCCTGGGGATCCCCAAATCCCCAGCAATGCTCAGCTCCTTGTAGGATTTCCATTTCTCTGTAGGATCTCCTGGGGATCCCCAAATCCCCTAAGATGCTCAGCTCCTCTAAGATGCTCAGCTGCTTGTAGGATCTCCATCTCCCTCTAAGATCTCCATCTCCTGGGGATCCCCAAATTCCCTAAGATGCTCAGCTCCCAAATTCCCAGCGATGCTCCCTGTGGGGTTCCCAGTCCTTGGAGGCTTCCCAGCTTCTGGAGATGCCCAAATCCTGGGCCTGCCCAACTCCCTGTGGGTTCCCCAGCTCCCAGGATCTCCCCAGCTCCTGGACCTCCCCAGATCCCCACAATGTTCAGTTTCCTGTGGGGTCTGCAGCCCCCAAGGCCTTCCCAGCTCCTAAGGATCCCCTAAATCCTTGGGGCTCCTCAGCTCCTGGAAAACCCCAAATCCCTGGGCATGCTCAGCTCCCTGAGGGTCCCAGCTCTCCAGGCACCCCCAGTTCCCTGGGGGATCCCCAAATCCCTGTGGAAGTGCAGCTCTCAGGGAGTCCCCAGCTCCCAGGGGGATCGGGCAGCTCTGCTCCTGCTCTCCCTGGTTTTTGTCATTTTTGTCATTTTTGTTACTTCTGCAGTTGCTGTTGCAATAAAAAGCGGGAAAGGCCCTGGCTGCCCCTGCCTCCTGCTCCAGGGGAGTCCCCCCAGCCCTGCCCCGCTCCTGGGGGGCTGGCACAGGACTGGGGAGGTGTTCTGGGGACAAACAGTGCAGTTATGGGCAAATCCAGGGTGTGGATGTGCAGAGTATGGCCAGGGCAGGGTTCCCTCCCAAAATCCTTATGGAGCCCATAGTGGGGTGGGACTGGGAGGAACTGGGAGGGCCCCACCCTGGAGGTGCACAGGGCGTCCCACAGGAGCCCCCAAAACCTGGGGCACCCCCCAGCAGGGAATGTGGGGAGCATTTCCCTGCCCAGTGCCACTGGTGGCTGCTGCAAGTTCCCGCGTGTGACGTGGGTGCCAAATCCTTGATCCCACTGGGATCAGCAGCTGCTCAGGCCCCCTCTGCCCCCTCCCCACACAGACCCTGCCCCTCGGGGGCTGCAGGTGCTGCCAGCACAGGTGGGGTGGCCCTGGCAGGTGGCACCAGGCCCGTGGGACGCGGTGCCCGGGGCAGAGCCGTGGGAAAGGTGTGGGTGTCGGGGTGCCAGGGCTGGGTCCCCCCCAGGCTGGGGGTGTGGGGCACCCTGTGCCCTCCCTGTCACCTCCCAGTTCATCCTGCCCTGCTGCTCTGGTGCTCTGCCCGCCGTGCCGGGGCTGAGGGCTGTCCCACGATGTCCCTCTGTCCCTTTGTTCCTCTGTCCCTGCGCCCCAATTCCCCACATCCAAATTCCCTGGCTGGGAACAGAGCAAGGACCTTACCAAGAGTTGTTGGCTTTTATTTGCAGCATTAAATAGCACTAGAAAGGAGACAATAAATACATTTTTGGGGGAATAAATAACCAGTGAGTGCAGCACTCACAGGGTCTGGCCGTGGGGCAGTGCTGGCCCTGGAGGCACAGCTGTGGCCAGGGGGGGTCAGCAATAAATAACAGAGGGTACCAAACCCCCCCGGCAGCAAAACATAAATAACTGATAAATAACCAGGGAGGGACCACCCTGGCGGGGTCGGGTGCTCTAAAACAAGCACGGGAGGGGTGACACTGTCACCAGGGTGACACGGTCAGGGGGGTGGCACGGTCCCGGGGGTGACAGGGTCCCGGGGATGACACGGCGCGGGCTCAGCGCGCCGTGCGGGGCAGGACGCAGGTGCAGCCCACGGGCACTCGGATGTAATCCACCTCCAGCGCCACCAGCCCCAGCCCCGCGGGCCGCGGGCACGGCTTGCGCCGCAGCACCAGCATGGTCTGCTGGATGGTCACCGAGTTGAGCGCCGTGGTCTCCCGGCCGGTTTTCACGTCCACGCAGCCGCTGCACAGGCACTCGGCGAAGGCCAGCTTGCGGGGATAGCGGTTCTCGTCCTCGTCGATGCTGCGGGGACACGGCGACGCTTTCGCTTGTGCCGCCAGCTCTAACCGGCTGGGGAGGGGTACCCGGGGGGTGTCGGGGAGCGGGGCACTCACCGGTATCGCCAGGGCGAGATGGAGCGCTCGTGGGGCTCGCTGCGGAGCCCGGTGCGCAGCGACAGCGCGGGACAGGCGGGCGGGCGCTGCCGCCGCCGCCGCCGGGCCCCGGCCGCCTCCAGGCGCTCCAGCTGCGGCACCAGCTGCACCGACAGGTGCCGGTCCCAGCGCAGGCTGCGGCCCAGCAGCTGCGCCGGAGCCTCGTCCCCCAGCTCGGCCCCGCTGAAGCAGCGCACGGCGGAGTGAGCGGAGCCGGCCCCGGCGCGCCGCAGCCCCCGGCACTGCCCCAGCGCCGCCAGCACGGCCAGGACACACAGCCAGCCCTGCGGGGACAGCACAGCGTCAGGGACACACAAGGGACAGGGACACACGGCCAGGACACACAGCCAGCCCTGCGGGGACAGGATAGCGTCAGGGACAGGGACACACGGCCAGGACACACAGCCAGCCCTGCGGGGACAGAACAGCGTCAGGGACACACAAGGGACAGGGACACACGGCCAGGACACACAGCCAGCCCTGCGGGGACAGGATAGCGTCAGGGACAGGGACACACGGCCAGGACACACAGCCAGCCCTGCGGGGACAGCACAGCGTCAGGGACACACAAGGGACAGGGACACACAGCTAGAGTGACAGGGACACACAAGGGACAGGGACACACGGCCAGGACACACAGCCAGCCCTGCGGGGACAGCACAGCACAGTCAGGGACACACAAGGGACAGGGACACACAGCTAGAGTGACAGGGACACACAAGGGACAGGGACACACGGCCAGGACACACAGCCAGCCCTGCGGGGACAGCACAGCACAGTCAGGGACACATTAAGGGACAGGGACACCCAAAGGGACAGCCGCACACACCAGGGGACTCAGAGACCCCCAAAGGGACGGGCACACACAGCCAAAATGACAGGGACATCCAAACAGACCGGGACGCACAGCTAGAGTGACAGTGACACCCAAAGAGACAGGGACGCACAGCACAGTGACAGTGACACCCAAAGGGACAGGCACACACACAGGGGGGTTGGACAGGCAGGGACCAGCAGAGCCCTCCCCACAATGTGAGCGCGCAGCCCCAGGGCCTGGGCAGGTGTGTGCCCGTGTATCGATCTGTTATCTATCCATTGCCTAGCCATAATCCATCCATTATCGATCTATTACCTATCCATGATCTATATATTTATCTATTTCCACACATCTCTCTATCCGTATAATCCCTATATCTATAGATGTCTCCATATCTCTATGTCTACAGAGCATCTGTACATTTTTATCTGTACATAGATATCTCTAGAGCATCTCTGTATCTCTGCGTGTCTCTATCTCGATATTTCTATTTCTATTTATTTCTATTTCTATTTCTATTTCTATTTCTATTTCTATTTCTGTCTTTGTCTGTATCTGTCTTTATCTATATCTGTATCTCTGTCTATATCAGTATATCTATAGCTATATATCAATATATCAATATATCAATATAGCTAGCTATTTCTATCTATAGCTATCTGTATCTGTAGCTATCTATATCTATATATCAATATGTAAATATAGCTAGCTATGTATATATTTCTATTTCTATCTGTATCTATCTATATCTATCTATATTTTTTATATATATAAGATCTACATATTTATATATATATGTGTATCCCATCCCGAAAAACTTAGCACACCCACGTGCATACGTGCTTGGATACACTCAATATCCACACTCACACACTGCGCACGCACACACACACATATATAAATATGGATTTTATATAAATATAGAAAAAGAAAGAGAAATAAAAATAAAAAACTATAAATACATATGCACAAAAATATATTAAATTTTTTATATATTTCTATTAAAATACATCTGTTTTATATATATATAAAGATATTATATATGTAATAGATATAATTTCTATATCTATAGAATAAATATGTTACATAAATATATATGTTACATAAATAATATATAAATAAAAAAATATGTTATATAATATATAAATATGTTATATAATTATATAAGAGAAATATAAATAAAAATATAAAACTATGCACACAGAAAATATATGTTTATATATAAAAATATATAAAAAATATATAACATTTTTTATATTCATAGAAAAATATTTTATGTAAATATATAAAATAAACAAAAATAAAAACATACAACTATAAATACACACACCCAAATGTATATATAAAAATGTATATTTATATAAAATATATTAAAGTATATATTTTATATATATAAAGATATATATATCTATGTATAGTATCTATAAAAAGACATATATAATTTTTTGGCTATATTTATAGAAAAGTAAATAAATATATATTTTGTATAAATATATAAAAATAAATTAAAATAAAACCAAAATTATAAATACACATACACAAACATATATAAAAATTTATGTATATATTTATATATAAAATATATATATAAAAAGATATATCTCTCTATATATAAAATATTTAGATATAAAACTATTTTAAAAATAATTTTTATATATTTAGAGAAAATATATAAATATATACTTTATAAAAATATATTAAAATGTAAATAAAAATATAAAACCTATACACACATATAAATTTATATAAAAGACATATAAATATATATATTATATATACATAAATATATATAT